AAAAATTCTTTTGAAAAAACCACGTCTTTTTCTATTTAAACAAATATTCCTTGAAAAAATCCACGCCTTGTTCGATATTTGAAAAAAAATATTTCTTTAAAAAATGTATTGTTGGATATTTAAAAAAAATTATTTTTTTAAATCCACGCCTTGTTCGACATTTGAAAAAAAAATATTTTTTTAAAAAAATGTATTGTTGGATACTTAATTTTTCTTTTAAATCCACATCTAGTTGGATTCTTGGAAAAATATTTTTTAAAAAATCCACGTGTTGTTGAATATTTGAAAAAATATTTTTTTAAAAAATCTACGTCTAGTTGGATACTTGAAAAATAATTTTTCAAAAATCTGCGTCTTTCGTCTCCTAAATTTTTGGGAAAATTTTGGGTATAACTTTTTTTGGGGGGATCGGTACCCAGATTTGGATATTTTTATTTTGGTGAAGTTTTTCTATTTTTCTGGAAATTTTTTTCTATAGAAGTATTTTTTATAGATTTATTTTGCGGAATTTTGTTCCCCTTTCCTTGCCATTCCAGTAGCTCTCGTTTTTTATTTTATTTTTCATTTCTTTTTATAAATTAGGTCCATCAACTCAATTCCAATCAGCTTGTAATCGCTTTATCTTTGATCGTATATCAGTAGCTTGATTTGTGTGTGTGTGTCTGTCCTGAAAAACAATCTATGGATGTGACTTCCAGTTTGCACCTGCTTAAATTACAAAGGGACCATCTCCAAGAAGGAGGGATGTACGCAAACAAAAAAAAAAATTGAAACTGAATGCAAAATTCAATAAATATAAGGCGACATAAACAAGAAACTGAAAATTCAAAACGTCAAGAAGTCGTGAATGAAGAACAAAAGAAGGAAAGCAAAGCAACAACAACGAGGAACGACATATTTCGTAGAACAATAATAAAATAAAAGTTAAACAGCTCATCCTGCTGGCGAGGAGGAAAGATAGGGAGAGAGAGATAGAGAGGGACGGGAGGGTAGGGGAAGGAAAGACTCAAGACAGCTTTTATGGTTGGCAAGAAAACAAGTTTACAATTTCGTGGCCAATTTTGTGTGACAATCAGCAGGACGGCTGCTCTTGCCAGGCTATGCTGATGCTGCTGTCATTGCTGTGGCCAACCAGCCAGCCAAGTTGTCTTTCCATTTAGCTGAGGCAAAGAAAAGAAACTGAAACTGAATTAAGTTGGCCAGAACAAGAATAAATAAAGAAATCCAATGAAAATAAAAATGCCGAGGCGAAAAAGATGCCAAAACGGACGAGGAGCCTGTCTTTGGGCTTTGTGCACCAGTTGCTCTGCGACAAATGCCACTCAAATCGATGGCTGTGGCTGTTTGTCATGCATAAGAAATCCTGGCATTAACGTCCCCAAAGGACAGAGCGGAGTTATGGCCACTAAAAGTTGTAACAGCAAAGATGCAGAGAGAGAGAGAGAGGGGAAAGAGAGAAAGAGAGAGAGGGAGATAAGGCATTTCAATTGTTTTTCTGCTGCTGCTGCTGCAGTTGTTTTGGGGGGCCAACCCCCTCACGTAGTTTGCGCAGCATATGCAGCCAAGCAATCAGCATTCATATGAAACCCCATAATCATCAACATCTTCATCGTCATCATCATTGTCCTTATCATCATCCTCATCCTCCTTATGATTATCGTCATCATCATCATCCTCATAATGGCATGTTGCATATGCGTGTTGCAATGCTGTTACCTCTTCTCGCTTGACTTCTCTGACCGATTCACGTATTCCGAGCAAGTGCCTAACTGGCTGGAAGGCAACAATCTCTTGGATGGTGGAACAACTTTTTCTCCTCCTCGATTTTTTTTTTTTTTTTTGTCGAAAACGTTTCTTTGGCTAAGTTGAAGATGACAACGGCAGTACCCGAAACAATGCCGAGTGTCAGACATCATAAGGATGATTGGCCAACCAGCCAGTCAGCAATGGCTATGGTGTTGTTGTGGCTAATAATGATGACGATTGTGATGATACCTTTATGATGCAGTAGAACATTTGTTATTGTTGTTGTCGTCGTTTTCTTTTCTTTGTTGTCCACAAATTGATGATGAAGCTGCCGCTGCATTGAGGTGTGATGATGTTGATTGGCAAGCCAAGCTGCCAGGCAGACATTCGGACAAATGATGCAGCAAAGGAAAAGTTGGAACCAAATTACAGGCTTGGTACCCGCTTCGATGACAATAAGGAAATAATTAGCTGATGATGAGATGCAACGTGTGGCAGATTGGCATCTCAACACCTGATGCCATTCTCGAAGGGATAAAAAGGGACAGATACTTTTTTGCTCAATGGGAAAAAATCATTTAAAACCTAGGGGACCGAGAAATTTTTCTATGGGGAAAAAATTCTCCAAAACTAGGAGACCGAATTTTTCCTCTGAAAAAATTGCCAAAACTAGGAGGGCAATTTTTTTTTTAAGGGAGAACGATTTTTTCTCTTGGACCCTTTTTTTAAATATTTTTGTTTCTCAAAGCGATAAAGAAGGACAGTTTTTTTCAACAGAAAAAAACTGTAAAAACTAGGGAAGCGATTCCTTTTCCATAGGAAAATCCACAAAAACTAGGGGACCTAACTTTTTTTCTAAGAAAAAAAGTAGCAAAAACGAGGAGACCGAATTTTTTTCTGCAGGAAAAAGTCCCCTAAAACCAATTTTTTCTACAAAGGATGAAAAAAGACCGATTTTTTAACGGAAAAATCTCCAAAACTAGGGAACCAATTACTTTTCCATAGAAAAAAATCCACAAAAGCTAGGGGACGGAATTTTTTTTTTTTTTTTTTTTTTTTGGGAAAAATTGCCAAAACTAGATGACCGATTTGGTTCTATAGGAAAAAGTCCCAAAAAACTAGGGGACCGAATTTTTTCTACAAAGGATGAAAAAGGACCGACTTTTTTAATAGAAAAAATCTCCAAAAACTAGGGAACCAATTACTTTTCCAAAGAAAAAAAGCCACAAAAACTAGGGGACCGATTTTTTTTTTCTATGGGAAAAATTGCCAAAGCCAGGAGACCTATAAATGTTCTTTACAGCATTTTTCCAGGATATTATGAAAAATGAGCTCGGGGTAAAGCCATTGAAATTCCAAAAAGTGCAAGAACTTACGCCGCAACAGAATGAAAAAAGACTCAAAAGAGCTAAAGAGTTGTTTCGCTTGGTCGAAAGTGGTAAACTGCCGAATTTGGTTTGGTGGTCTCCGATGAGAAAATATTCGTTGTCCAGCAGTTTGTAAACAAATAAAATGATCGTGCTTACTTGCCAAAGAGGTCAGCTAAAAATGTGCACCTTCGGTTGGCCAACAGAACTCAAGCGGCGGCCATGGTTGTTGTTGTTATAGCAGCTCATACAGCAGCGTCCATTCTATTTCCATTTTCTGACTCCATTCAATCTGGTTCTGCCTCTAAGTCCAGTCTCAAAAAGGATGCAATCTGTATGGGTTGTGTTCATAACGAGACTGGAGTTAGGTGAGTAGGTTTGGCTGGACAGCGATATAGGTGCAGCGTGTCATGTGGGCCTATGCCACATGCTGGGCAGATGTTCTGCTAATTCGGGGCCCTGTATGAATTTAGGCGGCTACACCATCCGGATCGTAATTGTGCCAAAACTACTCGGGTTTGTCGGGGCAGTTCTCGTTCTTCAGCTGCGACGGGTGGGGGGAGGATGGTCTCCTAGTGCAATATTCACTCTATATCCTTCAATAACTTCTAAGACCGCATTAGAGTGAATACTATTCAGTCCCGCTTGATAGATAGGCCTGTTGATATAGAGGCTCTCATAAGGGTCTTAACTTACGTGTCTGGGCGGAGTTTGCCTATCCACAATATAGTGATTCGGATGGCTTTGTCTATACCACCCAAGCAGGTATTGCATGGACAGCATGCCGGTAAGACCTTCGCCTTCTCATGCAGGTGATCGACAGGTGTCAAGAGGGGACACCCTGTTGCGGTTCTAAGGGCGGCATTCTGGCAGTGTGAGCCGCCATAGCAGCCGATGGTCACTCTCCGCTCGTATTAGTTGACCATGGCATCAAAATAAATGCCGAATATTATCGCCAAAATATTCTGGGAGGTGTATTTAAAGCCTTAGCCAAACCTTGGACATTCCAACAGGACTCAGCACCATCGCAATCAGCACGTGCCACCCAAGAATGGTTACAAAATGAGGTTCCTCGCTTCATTTCCAGCGCACAATGGCCACCAAAATCTTCGGATAGCAAGGTTTGCACTAAAAAATACCAAAGTGTCGAACACCTCAAGCAAGCGCTATGCCGGAAAAGGGCCAAAATTCCGCAGAGCAACATTCGGATAGCGTGTGACGATTTCATTGGCCGTTTGAAGCCCATAATTCGTGCCAAAGGTGACCAATTCGAACAAATCTAAACTTATTCTGAAATTTGAGGCTATTTCCGACATTTTTTGCTTTAATTCAATAAAATTTAAGAAAAAAATGTTAAAATTATGGCATTTGACTTGTTGCAGTTTTTTTTATCTCACCCTGTAGACCTCAAGTTTTTTGTTGAAAATGTTTGCAAACCTGCACGTATAAAGCTCTAAGAGACCTAAATTTGATAGCTCGATAGTTCTTCGAAATATTATAAAAAATCGATTTTTTGAAGGACTCTAAAGGTCCTTCGATAAAATTAAAAAAAATGTAAAAATTATGGCGTTTGACTTTGTTTCAGTTTTTTTATCTCACCCTGTAGACCTCAAGTTTCTTTTGAAAATGTTTGCAAACCTGCACGTTTAAAGCTCTAAGAGACCTATTTAAATTTGATAGCTCAATTTGTCCTTTAAAAATATTATAAAAAAAATAGATTTTTTTAAAGGACTTTAAAGGTCCTTAGAAAATATTTTTAAAAAAAATCCCAATTTTTTTATTTTAATTTTATTATTAATGTTTATTTATTTATTTTAATAAAAATGACTTTTAATTTTTTTTTTCTAATTTTTCTAATAACTTTAAATTTTTCCTTTCTCCTTCCAGGTGACATTTTATCGGGCGTCTGTTTTGTTGGCCAACTGGACACCCACTCTCTGGGGGTATTTCTCATCTTACCCCTGTGCATTTATCTCTCGATTGGAGCCCTATTCTTGCTGGCCGGCTTTATATCCCTTTTCCGTATACGTACCGTTATGAAGACGGATGGCAAACGTACCGACAAGCTGGAACGCCTTATGATGCGCATTGGATTCTTCTCGGGTCTCTTTATCCTCCCAGCCCTGGGCTACTTGGGTTGTCTCTTCTACGAGTATTATTTCTTCGATGAATGGATGGTCCAATGGCATCGTGACATTTGCCGTCCCTTCTCAATACCCTGTCCCCTACCAAGGCCCGACGGGTCTGAGTCGCGGCCTATTTTTCAAATATATATGGTCAAGTATTTGTGTTCAATGTTGGTGGGTGTCACCTCTAGTGTGTGGCTGTATTCGAGTAAGACAGTGGTGAGTTGGCGTAATTTTGTCGAGAAGCTGCAGGGGAAGGAGACGCGGACAAGGGGTCAGGCGTATGTGTAAAAAGCCAAGAAACCATAAAAATTAGTTGATAAGGATAATTTAATGATAAGAAAATCTGCTATGAATAGTTTTTTGTTGTTGTAATAATTTGTAAAATATTTTTTTAAAAAAAATTACACACACACACGCAGATGCAGACAGCAGAAGCAAAAACTTACCTAGATATGTAACACAAAGCAATTGAGTGCTCAAATTTAGAGTTTAGAAATCCTTCTTTTCAATAGACGTAACGCGAGTAGTACCCAATGTGGTTGGTAGACCACAGGATACTCAAGAATGAATACGAGGTGTAGGGAAGAAAATTGTAAGAGAATCTAAAAATTGTTGCAATTTTCTTCCCTAGGCCTCCAAAATTAAACAAAATCACAGAATAAAATATTTGCAGACAAGAAATGGAATTTTCAAAACTAGAACAAAAAACAAAATTCACAGCAATTTTCCGTTTTGAAATATCAATTCATTTGGCTTCACAGATTGTAATTTAAAGTTAGCGTAAATGGGAGCGTATTAGTAATATTAATACAAAAGCCAATTGGGCGTATGAAGAATATTTTATTTCCACATCTATGTTACTTATACGCCCCTCATTAAAAAAAGCTGAAAACTTTTTTTAAATTCATGAAACTGACATTGACAATTTCTAAAAAATATTTTTGATTTTTGGAATGGTTTCCCAAATAGGAAGTTATTTTTCTCCAACCAAAATGTTTTCCTATCCCGGAAACCGAAATTGCCTTGCCTTTTTGGAATCTAGAATTCCTAGGGAATCCATCCCAATTTGCCGTTTTGAAATATCATTTCATTTGGCCCCGGAAACCGCATTTAAAGACATGCGCATAGGGGGCGTATTAGTAATATTAATACCCACCATAACCCTGGCGTATGATCGACATTATATTTTGACATTTTCATTATTCATACGTCAAACACTATGTCTCCCTAAGAGGATTTCAAACTACAGCGAACCACCAAAAGTAATATTTAAAAAAAAATTTCTTCAAAACTTAGTTTTCCTTAAAAACTTCATCAAGACTATAATGTGCTCTGTCGAGCCTAAAAATCGTTTGGGATCAATATGATTTTAATATTTTCTGAAACTCAATTTCTTGGTAAACTAATCCCTATTTAATGTTAGCAGATAACAATTCATTGAAGCTGAATAATACCAAGTATTATGGGAGGGTATAAGTAATATCAATCAAAAGTACCACTTTGCGTATGAATTATTTTAATTACTTTGTTAGAGATTTTGTTCCACACTATAGTAATTCTACTCTATTTTGAAAGAGGACAGATAAGGGAAACAATGGTGGTTTACAGTTTTTCAATATCAGGTAATTGGACCGGGAAAATGCACTTAGAACTAACTTGCTTAGAGGAAAGGAGAACATTTTACTCACAAAACTTCAAAGTAATTTTCTGAGTTTAAGTGAAATGATCCGAGAGAACTCCTAAAGAAGGTTTGTTAGCTCTATTGGTCCTCTATCAATAGGTATGTAATTTGGCTAGAGGTACAACAAAAATTGGTAAAATTTCCGATCTGAACTGCTTACGTATAAGTAATATAAATTCAGAGTACCATAATGCGTATGATTTATTTTAATAGTTTTGTATTCGATTTTGTTAAGCACTAGGGTCATTAAACTATATTTGGAAAGAGGACAGAGGACAGGGAAACAATTATGGTTTACAGTTTTTAAATATCAGGTAATTGGACCGGAAAAATGCACCTAGAAATAACTTGCTTAGAGGAAAGGAAACAATTTTACTCACAAAACTTCAAAGTAATTTTCTGAGTTTCCGGGAACTGATCCGTAAGAACTTCTAAAGGGGATTTGTTAGATCTACTGGTCCTCTATCAACAGGTATGTAATTTGGCTAGCGGTACAAGAAAAATTTGTAAAAATTCCGACCTAAACTCCTTACGCATTTTCTGCAAGCGAACAAGTTACTATAACTCATACTTGCGTATGATTTATTTTAATTCTTCTTTAATAGATTTTGCCTATGGTATTTTCTGAAAGAAAAGAGATCAGGGAAACTAATTTGGTTTGCAGTTTTTTCAAAATAAATTCATTGGAGCACATAAAATCGACCTAAAAATAACTTGCAAGGAATCTGAAAGAAACTTTGGTAAAAAAAAATATTCTATGCCATATTTTTGGTTTTAATGAATAAATATCCTACAACTTTAGGCCTAATTAAATCCCTTGATATATCTCCTTGCAGAAAGTGTCAGGATTTTCCATATTTGCATTCTAACCTGTAGTATATGCCCCCTGGAATACTTACGCATTTTCTATAAGTATTGCGTTAATTTTATTTAAAGCATTTTTACTAAGTTTTGCAGATAACCTTGGATAACTTTAATTTTTTTAGAAGTGGAGAGACTAAGGAAGCATTGATGGTTTACTATTTTCCAATATTTATTCGTTGAGGTGAAGAAATTGGCCAAGAAACATGTGTTTAAGGGCATATGAAGTTCTCGAAGATGTTGATATTCTTTTGACGATTTGTAGGTTCCATTAACTGGGTTTCAAAAAAGTTTATGGCCGAAGTGGTTGCTCACAGAGTCCTCTTCAAGATTAAAGTGGAGTTACAGTGGTTCGTAAAAAAATCCCGGAACAATTCATGTCAGAGTACTTGCGCAAAAGTTAAAAATCCAGAGGTTTTCTAAATTCAAAATTTCTTTTTACCTTTTTGGCTTTTTTGTATTTTTGGGTCAAAACGCTTTATTTTTGAGATGCAATGAGCTTCTTTAGGGATCCTCTCCGAAATGTGTAAGAGTTAATCACGGGTACAGGCAAAATTGATCAAATTTGTCCGCTGGAGTACTTGCGCATCTTCGGGAAATTTAATTGCAAATATTCTATGACGATCGTATATTGGTTTCGCCTACACTTTCACATTTTTCGATAGAGGATTGGATAGAGAAACACATATGCAGCAAAGTTTCCCAATATTAATAGTTTGGAGCAAAATTCTGGACCGAGAAATATCTGCCTAAAGGTGATGAGAGGAAATGTAAGGCTTCGATATGCAATAGGCTATTTTTATGGTTCAATTAATTGATTTTGGAAATCTTTGAATTGCAAATGGTTACTTTAAGAGTCGCCTTTCAAAATATATGTTTGTCTTCGACATGTGCTACCATAATCTCCGACAGTGGGTCATAATTTACTTGCGCAAAATTCAAAATTTAGCAATTTTTCCTAAGTCAGACTATTTCAATTATATTTTATTGAATTTTTATTAGTTATGACTACATCTCAACATATTTTGAAAGGGTAATGGATAGAGAAACACACGGGAAATAAATTTTTTCAATATTAATAAATTTAAGCAAGAAAACATGACCGAGAAATAACTGTCTAAAGGCTTAAGAATAGTTGTAAGGATTCGACATTCAATGGGCGATTTTTATGGTTCAATGAATTGATTTAAGAAAACTTTACATTGAAAATTGTTATTTAAAGTACCCGCCTTTGAAATATAACAGTGTTTCCGAGAAGTTAAACCAAACCCCTGGACAGTAGGTCAGACAATACTTGAGCAAAATCCAAAATTTAGGAATTTTCTAAAATCCTGATTTTCATATTATTTGTATATAATTCTGGAGAACACTTTAACTGAAATTGGTTGCTTAAAGTGTCCCCTTTTGAAATATATTTAAGTTGTCTATGTGTATGGCCAAATACCGGAACAGTGCAACCAATAACACTTGCGCAAAATTCGAAAATTTAGGAAAATCTTTTGAAATGATTTTTATTTTCACTCTTCTTTATAATTTGGTTTCGTTTTCAATTATAAATATTTTATATTGGGAAAAATAGTACCAAATGTACGTCCGCGGTTATTTTCAAAAATCAAAATTTATAGAAATTGTCTAAATGTTCAGACAGAAGCAATGAAAGTTCTCTATATTCCTAGCAAAGATATTTTTAGAATTAAGACTTATCAGTGGATCACTTTCATTTAAAAATTTCAATTTGTCATTTAATTTAGCTATCGAAATAACAATTTTTCTCTTATGATATGGGATTGCGTATAAGTAATTTTAATTCCCAAGACCATATGGCGTATGACTCATATTCTCCCTTTTGTGTTTTTATTACTCATACGCTCCAAAGTTTATATGAATATATTTATTTTGTGTTTCTGACAACAAATTTAGTTTAAAAAATTTGTATTTTGTTTTAATACTTTAATTAAATTACTTTAAAAATTTTATTGAAATTTTCTATGAGTGCAGCCAAAGTTTAAATGTAAAATTAAATATAATGTGCTAAGAAAAAATAAGAAAAAAATATTAAAATATTTGCAAATTATTTTTTAGAAGAGGCAAAGGGGATTTTCAGAGCGTCTTCAAAAGGCCAATAAAAAAATCTTCTCAAAAAATTACTTGAACGAAAAAAAGCTAACGTTCTGAATATTTCCCCATTTCATTGCCTTCATCTTAAATGTGAGTCAACTAACTTTATGAATTATTTTTAATTTTTTCATTTTTTTTAAATATATAGCTTATGTAAATAGTTAGCTTTAAGTTGAGTACGATTAAAATAAATATTTTTACTCTCAATTGAGTCCTCTCTGAATTAGTGCTTACAAATTAAGTTTTATTTTTTAAACAATAAGCAACGAAAATAATATATTGTTAATAATTTGCTCATAAATATTTTATTGACTAATTTAGAGTAGATGCATATTTTGTAGAATTATGATTTTTAAGTTATAAAAGCTTTATATGTGCCCATTAAATATTATTTTTAATTTAAGAAAATATATTTTTTGAACAAAAAGAAAGAAAAACAGAAAAAGAATTATCAGATTTTATTTTTTATAAAATTATTATACGCTAAGGAAAAAGTTGTTGAATTTTTGTGAGATTCCAACAAAAAATTACATTTTTTATATATAAATTGAAGCGTTTTGAAATTTGGCTCTAATTTTACCCAAATATTCATTTTAGACTAATAATGTCAATGAAAAAAATCTTCTTCATTAAATTTCTCTATCGGTCACCAAAAACATGAAATGTATAGCTATTACTTATGTCAAGAAAAAATCAGTTTCAATTTAGATCTGTTCAAATGATAATAAATTGTATTGTAAATTGTGACTATTTTCCACATGTACCCAAAATCTTCACAACACTTCATTTTGGAGTGATGATGTCAGTGAGAAAAATATTCTACACCAAATGGGAAATATTTTTTCCTTTAACATCAAATCGGTAAAATGTACTGGAGTTGAAAAAATAGGGCCATGTGGAACAGAACTCCCAC